AAATGAAATCGTCAATCATTTAGAATTTTGGATCTGCATCAGTTTCATACGTTCTAATGCGAATAAATGAAACGCGTCTATACTACAAATCCGTTAAATATAAGAACGCACCTAGTTTGTCAGTTTTTCAAAAATAATTAGATACATAAATATCGTAAATCAAAAATAATTACAAATAAGCGGCAAATTAYACGAGATGGTTTTTGATTTGTTATCATTGACTTCTCACTGAATATAAAACATTTTGAAAAAACAACAATTTTGCAGTACTATATTAGTTGTTTTTAATTTATCCTATCTAGATATCGATATATATGGGTATAATTACTTAGCATAATATCTACTGCCTATATAGTAACACAGATATGATTTAACAAAGCTTTCGCATCAAAAACCGTTACGGAAACATTGTTATGGGCAGTAACCATTAGTTACAAATCTATTGACATAAGTTTATGACAAATTATTATTTGTATCCATGGCAACGATTATTGGTTACTGTAAAAAACGTTTATAAACATAGCCTATATTATATAGGTACCTATTATACTGTTGTTTCTAATTTTTAGGATAAATTATATATTTATTTTAGGTGTACGTAAAATATATTGTTTTGAAAAATCGGTATACTTGGTATTTTAATTTCTAATCATACCTAGTTATTATGAAAGAATCGTAATAGCTGCACTTGACAATGTAATACAGCAACACAAGTTATTTTATTTATTACATAATAATATGTAGATTGTTCTTYGCATRAATAATTGTATAGTTATTTTGATCACAAGTTTTAGATTATAACGTTACATACATAACAATWTCATATATAGGTTTCTTAAATATTTGTCTATAAATACTGCATGTAAATACGTACCATCAGAGATCAGAATATAAAACTTAATCAATAATAATATTTTATATAATATTAAATTCCTGATAAAATAAAATAATATCTAATCCATACCACACTTATAGATTATCACTATGGAATATAGCCAATTTTATGTACCTCCAATGGCGACTACTATACTACTTTACGTATACAATGTACATATTTAAAAAATATTCGATTAAACAAAATAGTATATAAAAGTTACGTACTTCAGAGACACCCAGTCGTCGTCTTCAGAACCAGCTTGCAGGTCGACCACCTCCACGGGATCGTCATTTTTCGACCACAGCAACAGGCATGACGTGACTAGGACGGCGATCGCCCACGGCAGTCCACGGCGAATCCTCCTGCGAYAGCCCATGACCACCATGGCGAAGATGAAGACGACAACGACGAAGGAAACTTGGGGYGCATCCCACGTRAACCACCGGACGCTGCGGACCGCGGCGTTGGTGTTCAGCTAGATCATTGTTGCTATAGCGGCGTCGACCAACGGTGACGATAATAATATTATAGGTATCGACAGATATTTAGAGTGAAAAATACGCACCCATCGAAATACGATATTATTATTACTTATTATTATAGAATATCAGAGGACGTTCCGCGGTAGTGCGTCATACGGCAGCGACCAGYGGTGGTCGTGAGGTGAATGAGAAAGAGCAGAAAACTAGAAACCCAAACAGCCGTCGCCGTCGCACATGTAATAACATCTTGATACATGTTGTGTATTTTTTTTTATTACCGGTTACTGTGGTGGTGGCGATGTTGTTGTTGGAGGTGGTAACTGGTACGTATGGTAACCTTGAMGTGGTTGCGGACGGTGTCTCCAGACATCCACCGGCGGTACACGAGAGCGCCATCTGCACAGCCACGCGTCCACCAGCCCAGGAATCTTTTTAACGACCGTCTTGTCGTCATATCATTATGCATTGCGTGTTGGTTTCAATCACCGAACCCGTCGAATGTCCACTGACTGTACAAAGCGATGATAACAATAGTACCTACGCATCAATATAGTATTATTAAAAATTATAAAACAGGTAACCAAAACACCTGCTGCTACTGTCGTGGCCCGGTGGTCCGCCTCCATGTATTACGGAGTATTGTATATTGCGTAATCACAAGCGACTGACCAAATTATCGTATACCATTATATAATTACTAAATTACGGTATGATATCGTACCTAGTTATCTGCAGAGCTTTAAAGTTGCCAAGTTGGGAYATWAGTTTTTGTCGATTTAGATACCGGTTAAGATATTCAAAACATAAATTTTAGTTTCTATCGGACATGACTGCAATGGTTATTGTAAACTGAAGAGAGGATTCTGAATATTCTATGGCAGAAATATCGCACGGTTTTAAACTGTARATAAGTGTAGGTCACTGCAATGAATAGATAATAATAGGTTATTTGTTGTCTACAAATATTAATTATGCAAATACGCCAAAAATGCCACTTCCGACATAGACWCAAACATACTAGAGCTTCTTATATACGATGACTTCAAAAACTTCATAAATACCGTCATTGAAAAWAAATGACATACATTATGTAATAATCAAATCACACTAACATTAAATGTATAATAAATAATCTTTAAACTGAACCGAATAAAGAGTACAACCTTCAGATGGGAAAACCATTATATAAACCGAAAGTACAAAACCACTATAAATCGCAACAAAAAATTGTACACACTAGAATAACTAATCCTAATGGATTTCTTATATCAAAAATGAAAACAATAAACCACCCATCTATGAAGCTTACGGTAGGTACACTGATCACTAGGACTCGGATATAAATGCCCATAAAAATACCGAAAAGTATATTTATGACCTAAAAATATATTTATTAAATAAACTCAAATATTATTATGTAAAAAAAAATGTATGTAATATAAAATAAAATAATATTTATATTAAATTTTATTATACATTRCATTATACCATACGAGTTTTACGACAACTTACTTAATTTTTCAACAAAATGAAAGTTAAAATTGTCTGATTTTGATTCTGAAAAAATGTTTAAATTCAGAAAATGTCTGTAGATTGAACAAATCACTTTTCGTTTTTAATTTTAAATTAATTGTGATTTGGAAAAATTAATATTTTCGAGTTTCAAGAAATACAACTCGCAGTAATATATGGTTTAATGTTAACAAGGTATCGAAAGGGTTCAGTACAATCTATAATCAATTTTCTGTCGAGTTCATATTTCTTTTTCGAATAAAAATCGGACAATTTATACTATAAGTTTATTCTTAATTATTTTTAAGTATATTGCACAGAAATCAAATCGATATTAGTCAAGAACTGCGATTCTTTCTCACCTTTACCAAAGGATCATTGCTCGTAAGTGCGGTAGATTGCGGTTGCCATTGGTTAAAAATAACAAAACAGTCATCATGATTTAATAAATAAATAGTAAGGTTATTCGTARCAAATTAACAGAATATTCAATATTAAAGATTTTGCAGAGGAAGATAAAATGCTCGACCCAAGAGTTTTCTGTCTTACCATCAACATGTTTGATTTTAAATTATTCAAACACTTATAAATAAAAATATGAAATCGTCGCATCGTATTGCGATAATGCGATGGAACAGCGTGGTCACAAATCACAATAGAAATCGAACTACGTAGTCATCGCACTCGCCGCATTCACGTTGTCCGTATCAGTCGCGTTTGGCACGCGCTCCGCTCAAACAACCGACGAAACAACCAGTGTCCCATAATACTGATGACGGTCTCGGAACGGTAGAAAACCGCTGCGCTACTTCAAACGCCGACCGTCGAGTCAAAGGTAGTGCGCCTATTTCCTGTAATTTYGATAATTACATGATATTTTACATAACTGCGATAATTGTTGCGGTTCCGACAGCGAACTGTTATTGTTATTGATACGAATTACAATATTTATCGGCCGGAAGTGATCGAATATTACAATATTCACGGGACAAGCCGCGTTCTGCATACCAGGACCGTATGCGGCAGCGGCGATCGTAGKKTGAGCGTCCGTCACCCGATTGAACGAAAGCCGATACCGTCCGTCGAAATTTCCACATAACGAGTCCACCGTGTACCAGGGGATCATGGCGAACTTATAACAAGTGACGGTGAATTCAACATGAGATATCGAAAGAAATTTTATCGGCCGTACGCAAACTGCGGTAAAAATGCAAAGTTAACATTTTTCTAAAAGTCGATAACATGTAAACTACGGCAAAAAATGTTTTACATTATTCTATTTGCGACAGTTTATTTTCATTACCTACAGACTACAATAATGTAGACTATATACAATGTATATTATACATAGATAAACCAGTGGCATAATTAGGAATTTGGTTTGGAGAGCTGGGGTTTAAATATTTTTAGCAAAATCTGTAAGTCTCATACAGTAACCTACTCTAACAAATATAACATGTTGGCAGTAAAATAAAAGTTTTGGAAGGGATCTATCCTATTCATCCCCCTTAATGATGCCCCGGAGATAAACCATAAAAAAAATCATATCTACCTAATCTACCTATGTGTACTTTTTTTTAAACATATTTACAATCTGTATACAATTAATACAATAAKTAAATATTAGAAAAATGTTTTCAGGGCTTGGGGGTGTGAAAGAAAAGGGCATCCAATAATAATAACACTATTTCAATAATAATTTTTTTTTATGTTCTTTTTAAAAAACAAAAATCTAATTGTGATTAAATAAGTAAATCACGTGACCAGTTACGTTTTAGACGTCTAGGAGGATTGTCGGGAATGGTGGAAGAGAAAAGATTAGGAATTAGGTTTAGGGTGATTATGACGTGTTTACGCGTGAAAGTTTGAATAAATGCGGGCTAGAGTTGGTATAGTGCAGATCAGGCCAGATCTTAAGAGTTAAGGTCGTTATGTAAAGTAAGGTTATTGACATACAACGGAGCTTTAATATTGAAGTTAGAGTTTATAGCAGAGCCCCAAAGTTGGATGCCACGTTTATATTATGCACGTAAATCGTTTAATTAATTATGTTATGTTGTGTATAGTGTACAAGTTTAGTAATGCTTTCAGACATTTATCGTTTGATATTATTATTTATTACTCATAGTTTGACGTTCAATTGTAGAATCTGATTTATGATAATTAATTTTTCTGCAGTTTACCTTCTATTTTATTGATAAACTAAGATCATTAATAAATAATTATTATTGCCTTAGCGGCTTAGCAACAGGATAAGATAAAATATAAATTATATACCTTAATTCAGTAGCATATGTATGGTGGGATAACAGGGTCATCCCCCTCAGATTTGCCCGTTATTAAGAGGTGTCAACCTAAACTTGTCCATATCCGTTATTAAGAAGTTTTTATTTTGAATTCTGTAAAATTAGTGTACATTCATTAAACTGCACTCATTCAAATATTATACTGTACAATGTACAGTGTACATATTAACATATTACATCCTTATTCAAATAATACAAAACTGTAACTGTTACTGGTTACCAAATACATAAATCTTATTATTTATAATTTGGCTATAAGTACTTATTAAAATTCAATTTAGTTATTTCTTTTKCTATTATATTTTTTTGGAGAAACAAAAGTACCCTTTAATAATAACTAAGGATGGTAGTCATTTCCAGACAAATTCCCTTTTTGCTTAAAAAATATGTAAAGAGTGAGTAATTCAAATGAT